AAAAAATTAATTCTTAATTCGTGGCCATAATGTAGTCCTAGCATAAAAGAGAACTAGCCTATTCTAAATTCGTGGCTGTGATTTTGTCTGCATGTCATGATCGGGGCTCCGTACAACCGAATATAACCTTAGCCTACCTGTTTATTAATTTATTATGGTATGTAACTATCTCACCTTTTGCTGCACCATGTTTGCATAGCCTACATCTTCGTGCTTTCTGTAATCAATATGAATCTTTACTAACTTTAACAGTCTCCCCGCACTCCCTCTCAGTTTCTTCTCCCTGCTCATTCTTAACTTTGATTTTTACTTTACATTTATGTATAAGGCTTGCAACTTCGTTGAAACAATATCTGAACTCCATAACTGCTCTACTATTCTCGATCTCTACAGATTCTTGATCTCGAACAAGCAAATCACCAAAGGGCATTCTGGGTTGAGCGAGCGGCGCTGAACGTATTGAGCGAGCGGAGCGGAATCTTCAGAAAGGTGCTCTGCGCTCTTAAGGAAATATTACCACTCTGCTTCCCGCTCCGCTCCGCTCACATGCTCTGCTCCGAAGTCCCGACCTGAATCAAATGACTCGCGAACTCGCTCCGAAGTCCCGACCTGAATCAAATGACTCGCGAACTCGCTCCGAAGTCCCGATCTGAATCAAATGACTCGCGAACCCGCTCCGAATTTCCGATCTAAATAAAATGATTCAAAATAATTACAAGCGATGTCGAAATTCGAAAATAAATGGCTCTTTTGAATTTTATTGCTAGTGAATCGCTTGAACTGAAAGTCACCAAAGTCCCTTTAAAGCAACGAAGGCTTCTATGGTCTTTAAAGTCACGAGTTTGAGTTTGAATTAATTGGAGCGGTTCCAGTGTAAATGACTCACTCAATTGAATCGGTTCATATTCTGTTCCTCTTTTCACGTCTTCAGTCATGTTTACACGACACTGTCAGCACTACTACTGGCTTAACTCGCTAGTTTCATGACACTAACTGAAATAAGCGAACAAAATTTAATGTTTACAAAAAAAAAATCCATATTTCCATTCCAAAGATAACATCCAACACAAATCTAGAACATATATAGCTGAGGTCACCGGTTTACTGCTAACTAGTGAAACACTCCATTAATATGACGAGCTGCAGCTTAAAATACATGCTAGATGGAAACATTGTGCATTATGATCGGGTTTGTGGCTTAATTCAGTATATTTTAAATAGTTGATGACAGCAGGAAATCAGTTGAAACCATCCAGTATCACAGATCATTGAAGTGAATGTTAAATTTATCAGTATATTTGTACATAATAAATATTTGACATTATTTTTGTAAACGATCGTGATAAACGATGTGAAAGAGCAAATGGGAGAATCAGAACCAGGTGAAAGTAGTTGAAAAGATTAATCCAAAATGATTCATTTACACATGAATCTGTTCCGAGTGATAAACAATGTAAAAAGAGCAAAGAGAAACAGATGCACACAAAATAGGTGAAATGTGTTGAGAAGATTCATTCAAAATGATTCCTTGACACATGAATCAGTTCTGCAGTGCGTTTTGTCCCAATGCTCATGAACCAGTGATCTTCTGTTTGTCAGATGTACAATTCTGTCTGTTCATCTTTTCATTCTGGGTTACGAGTGTCTGTCTCCAGTCATAAGCGTCTCTCCTCTTCTGCTCTGCAGTATCTGGTCATGGATTACTATGTGGGTGGAGATCTGCTGACGCTGCTGAGTAAGTTTGGTGATCGTATGCCGGAGGACATGGCTCAGTTCTACCTGGCTGAGATGGTGATGGCCATCGATTCAGTCCACAGACTCGGTTATGTGCACAGGTATCTGTACTGACACCTAAACATGCAATGGTTTGATTCAGAAAGTTCTCTAAATTGAATATATATATGAGTACATAGGATGTTAGATGTCTGCTCTCTTCCTGTAGAGACATTAAGCCTGACAACATCCTGCTGACAGCAGATGGTCACACACGATTGGGTGATTTTGGCTCCTGTCTGCGTCTGGAGGATGACGGACTGGTGATGTTTGTCTGCTGTCAGACATTCAGTCATGTGCGGTCGGCCCACTGTGCTCATATATATGTGTATATATTCTCAGATCCACTCGTCGTTGGCCGTCGGGACTCCAGACTATCTGTCTCCAGAGATCCTGCGGGCGGTGGAGGGCGGCGGAGGCTACGGCTCTGAGTGTGATTGGTGGGCTCTGGGCATCTGCGCGTATGAGATGCTGCTGGGAACCACACCCTTCTACGCCGAGTCCATCTCTGAGACCTACGCTAAAATAATACACTTCAAGGTAAAGGAGCTGTGCTTGAGGATGCAGGGCTGGACGCTAAACTATATCATATCGCGATAAAATATATGTCGATAACGATGATTTCTGCTGATCACACTGCCTAAATATAGGCAACAGCAGCAGTCAAGCCTGCATGTTCTGTGTGTCTCTGTGTGAATGAGTGCCGTAAGTTCATCTACTACATGAACTCAAACACTTGTGACACTCGCAGTGTTTTTAGCATCTGCGTCTCAATATATGAGGACATGAACACATGAACTTCATCTCCAGAGCTGCTCTGAGAGTCTTGGAGAAACTACTTAAAGAGAAAAAAACACTGTCAAACACATACCTACTCACAGATCTTGACTACAAACTGCCAAAATAAAAGTTTGGTTTAATTTGAAGAAATTATGACAGAAATATAGTACTATTGCATATATATTACCAGTGTTGGGGGAATTGCATTACGAGTAACATAAGTTAACATAAGTCTAGCATATTCCAGTAAGGGTCTTACGCCTACATTTCGGGTACATGCTCACTTAACGAGGGGAATGTCAACTTCGTGGGCTCTCTTTAAAGCGGTCACGATACCAGATATCTGTGAAGCGGCGAGTTGGTCCTCACCGCACACCTTTATAAGGTTCTGTAAACTTGATGTTACAGCTCAAACGCTTGCACATGCCGTACTGAGCACTGGATCTTGATGACTCTGGCTGTATTTTTTCTCAAAGTAAATGGTGAAATGCTGACTCTCAGATGAAGTTAATGTGTTCATATGAGACGCAGCAAACTGACACACGCACAACATTCAGATTCACATTTGCACAGCGGCACTTTAATATTCGCTCAGACTCGTCCAGATCGCCGTCTGATTCAGTGTACAGACCTGCTTTTGATTCATTCATACAAATTCCATGACACTTTGCAGTATTCTATTTTAATAACTAGGTTCCTGCGATTTGTCGACGTTTGTAAAAAATAATGCATGGATATGCAGTAGACGATGCCAGCGCTGACTGTGTGTTTCTGTCTGAACAGGATTATTTTGAGTTTCCTCCGGGGTCGGAGGTGTCCGAGGAGGCGCGTTCGCTCATCAGCGCTCTCATCTGTGATAGGAGCGAGAGGTTGGGTTCACGGGGCTCCGGAGACTTCAGAAAACACCCGTTCTTCACGGGTTTGGACTGGAGTTCCCTTCATCTCCTCCCTCCTCCGTACAGTCCTGACGTCTCCGATGCCACCGACACCTCCAACTTTGACGTGCTAGACGACTGTCTGAGCCACACGGTACCAGAGCCATCAGATCCTTCATGGAGATGTAAATCTCAGAGTGATCTGACTTCTTCTGCTCTTGTGTTCAGGAGACCCTGAGTGACGTGATGGAGCGAGCGCCGGTCGGGCTTCATCTGGCATTTGTGGGCTACTCTTACACAGCCACCAGGTTAGTGACTCTTCATCAGCAGCTTTATTGGTGAGCGCAGCTGTAACATGTTCTCATGCTGCTGTGCTGTACAGAGAGACGGGAGCGCTGGATCGCAGCAGAGACATCATGATGGAGATCAACCAGCAGCAGGACAGAGATCAGCTACAGCTGCAGGGAAAACTGGTACGATTTACACTGATCGATGAAAACATGGACTGAATCACGGAATTCACTCATAGAAATTCAAGCTCCAAATGAATCACTACTGCACAGACTCAAGCTCCAAATTAATCACTACTGCACAAACTGGGGCTCCAAATGAATCACTACTGCTCAGACTCAAGCTGTAAATGAATCACTACTGCTCAGACTCATACTCCAAATGAATCACTACTGCTCAGACTCATACTCCAAATTAATCACTAATGCTCAGACTCGAGCTGTAAATGAATGAACTCAAGCTGTAAATGAACCACTACTGCACAGACTCGGGATCCAAATTAATCACTACTGCTCAGACTCAAGCTGTAAATGAATCACTACTGCACAGACTCGGGATCCAAATTAATCACTACTGCTCAGACTCAAGCTGTAAATGAATCACTACTGCTCAGACTCATACTCCAAATTAATCACTAATGCTCAGACTCGAGCTGTAAATGAATGAACTCAAGCTGTAAATGAATCACTACTGCTCAGACTCATACTCCAAATGAATCACTAATGCTCAGACTCATACTCCAAATGAATCACTACTGCTCAGACTCATACTCCAAATGAATCACTACTGCTCAGACTCATACACCAAATGAATCACTAATGCTCAGACTCATACTCCAAATTACATCATTGGCTTAAGATGACAGCGGCCATACTGGGATGTTTTGGCTTCATTTTTCTGGATGAAGTTTTTTTTACAGTCTATGATATATGTATATTTGTGTGTGTCATGTGCTTTTACTGTTTTTCATTGTAAATTATATGGCAATTCATAGTTTTTACTGCCAAAAATGATACATTTTGGATTAAACTGGTTTTTCACAGTATATGGAATGTTACATTTAACCATTTAACAGGTTTTTACTGTAGTATCTTAGATTTTCGTCTTTCTCTAGCAGTGAACAGTGAAGGACTGTGCAGTAGTATTGATGTACTGCTAGTAAATACAGTGCTGTTGATGTTCTCCAGACGTCTGCACAAAGCCGAGCGCAGGAACAGAGAGCTCGAGCAGGAGATGGCCGGACTGAGAGAGGAGATCCTCAGACTGACCGCCGGCAGGGACCAAGGTCAGGAGTGATCTGTGATCTGGAATTAGCGTTACAGATGTCATGCTGACAGATCATCGGAGATGTGTGTGTAATATTATCTGTACGGTGTGTTTGAAGCTCTGCCCTGAGAATAGCGATAAATATCTCGTCAGGAATAGATAATGACACGCTCATCAACAGAACAACTGCAGGATCACATGACTAGACCTGTCATCAAGTTCATGCCTGACCATTGTCAAAAAAAATAACTGTGATTAACCGTTTAATTGTCTGTTTTGCTTATCACTTACAGTGTAAGCCTAATTAAAAAAATATATATTTTTTTTTTACATGGAGACATGTAACTAAATAGGCATATCTGTAATGTTATGAAATAAATATTTAAACCGTTAAAATCTTTTTAAATTAAATAAAAAATGTATTAATAATTAATCATTTATAGGAAATATTTTTTGTAATATTTGTTTCATATTATATATTATATATACAGTATCAATCAAATTGTCCACTGATGTGAGAAGCTGTCTGCAACAAAATATGCTATTTTTTTCCAACTTAATATTTATTCTAACTTAATTTACTAACTTTAAATCTTAACTTAAACATACATCATATACATTTGTTCTTAAATTAGTTTACGGTCCAACATGGTTCTATAAACAAGAACAATTAACAGAAAATATACATTTTTATATTTATATTTGGTTTGGGCCCAGTTATTAATCTTCAGTGAAAGTTTAGTGAAGTTTTGAAGCTCTTACAGGATTTCTGCGGGTCTTAAAAAGGTTATAAAAGATCTTAATTCATCCCTCCACAAATTAAAACCTTAAAAGAGCTTAAATCAGAGCAGAAAGTCTTAAATTCATGAAGTTGTGGCATTAAATGTTGCATGATGAGACTGATAATGTCTCAGAAGGTTCCTACACATCTTCTGTCTCTGGTTTGTTGGACTGAATGCTTCAGTGTAAACCTGCGGTCACACATGATGTATCCTCACGCTCTGCTGTCCGGCTCATAGCGCTACAAGATCACTGTGTGTGTGTGTGAGAGAGAGAGTGTGTGTGTGTGTGTGTGTGTGTGTGTGTGTGTGTGTGTGTGTGAGAGAGAGAGAGAG